CTTTTTACATGGATAAAAGCCAGTAAATACAGCTCCAGGTATCAGGATCCTGAAATACACCACAGGAGGTGGAACACAGAGCTTCAGAAAGAGCACAAAAATGGAAACCAAGACTTTGTTGTTGTTGATATCAAAGTTAAAAGTGAGAGTGCTGGGTTGCTGCTCTTCTGAAACTGAGATTACAGCAATCCTGACTGAAACAGACAACTGAGGTGGCAGCTGATGGGAGGAATGTGGCAAAATCACTGCAGGAGCAGCCTGAAACCTCTTGCATTTGAAACCAAAGTGGAGAATTGAAATGGTTTTCCAAACCCTGATTTCTAAGAACTTCAGAGACAAAGAAATCCATCGTTACCCCTCACAACAAGGCTGAGTGCTGCTGTTGGTTTAGAATTCCCAGTGAAATTCCTGCTTTATTGTACATTTATCTGCTTGGAGAGTGTCTGCCCCCACTATCTGAAATCCCTGAGATTCTCTAAGTGATGATCAAGAATGGATCCTGATCCCAATTACTTGCCCATGCCAATCCAGTAATGACAGAGAGCTTCCACTGGAACTTCCCAAATCCAATGGCTTCCACTGCATCCTCCACCATGAAAGTATCTGCAAAGAAAACAATTCCAGTGGGTTCCTTCCCGAGAAAAGCCAGCCCTTGAGAGAGAATTTTCTGTTTTAATTACTAATTAATTGGCTAATCTGCTGAGATCTCAAATCTATAACAGAGCTACTTAGTTGTTATTATACAATTTCTACTCAGGAAAATCACTGTGTTCCTCCAAAGCCAAAATAATTTGAATTTTTCCTAGAATATTTTAATCACATGGAGGTAAATCAGTGTGGCACCCACAAACCCAGCCCACGTTCAGCCTCTTCCTCCTGGGAGTGACTCCTGCAGCCACTGGAGTGCAGCTTTCTGTGGGGAGAAACAGCTCTGCCCCAGCCCACAGCAGTGCTGGGAGCTGCAGGGAATATTTCAGTGCAACCTCTCATTATTTAAATCAAGAATTTCTCCAAAACACACAAATCTTAAACCCAGTTTCTGCTCAAAATGCTGCTGGTTGTTTCCCCACCCACTGCCATGACCTCTTTAGTTTGTTCCAGCTGAAGGTGCTGAGAAGTCTCAAATTCCTTTGCTCAAAGGCAAAATGAAATGCCCAAAAAAAAGCACATTTTGATATTTGAGTTGTTTAAATCAATTTAAGTCTCACAGTTCTAACACTTGCATCAGCTTGGAAAGGACATTCCTCAGGAAAAACTTTGGCTGTGAGATCCCCACAACAACACAAATCAGGAGGAGATCAAACAAAATCCAAGGGATAAAGCACAAAAACAAGACTAACACCAAATTTTCACACTGTGCTAAGACAAACCCAAAATTTCTCCTCCCTCCTAAAGCAAGATGCCTCCAGGCAGGAAGCAGAGGCTGAGATGGACATTCCTGATGTCCTCTAGGAAAAGAGGAGCCAGGAACTCTGCAGATTCATCTCAGCCTTGAAGGACAGCCAGGTGTAGCTGCTCCAGGAGCTCTGAGCAGCTCCAGAGGGAATTCAGAATTCAAACTCCAGTGTGGCAGCTGGATCCACAACGCCCTGACAGGAGTATCCAGCACAAAAAGGAGCACAGAGAACATCCCACAGGGAATGGGCTGATCAAGCCACCATTTTCAGGTCTAACACAACTTCCCTGAGTTATTATTTTTATCTGGGCATCCTTATCTTCTCCAAACCCCCTGCACCCAACCTGACTGAGATGAAGAGATCCCACAAGGCAGGAAAACAAGAGCCCTGCTCACCATCCGTGGGGTTGGCGAATTCCTTGGGCACTGCAGCTCCATCCCCCAGCTCCACGGGCTCCAGCTCCGTCCTCACCCCCTCGATCTGCACCTCGTGCTCTCCCGAAATTCCATCCTCCTCCGACCTCGAGCTCTCCCCCGTGCGGCGGAACTTCACCACCCTGAAAGCACAAAAAAACCGGGATGGATCCTGCCAGGAGGATTTTCCAGCTGGGGAGGTTTGAAACCCCTTTTCCATCCAGGTTTCTCCTCATTCCCGGTCTCCATTCTCCACTGGGAACTCTGGGATTTGGGTTTGGTTTGAGGTGTCCTACCCTGGGATGGGATCTCATGTGCTATGCACAAAGTTACAAAACCACTGAGGTCATAAAACTATGATGGAATGATGCATGTTTAATGAGATGCATGTTTGGTGGGCCTGGATTTAATTGGAATTAGGCATTGCTGTGTCATTGAATTTCAGGGGTTTTGTCCAGGCAGGAAGAGCCCAAATTCCATTTCCTGAGTTGTTTTTGTGATTAGAAACTCCAGAAATGCACCAGAATTTGAAATATTATTTAGTGAAATACAATTACTGAGCTCATTCATTGGAAGAGCTGAATGGATGGATTTTTTTTTCCCCATGCTAATTCTGTGACTCTGTTTTCATCTTAAACAGAATTATTTAATATCTTGTAATTAATGAAACATCTATATTTTAAGACCAGAATTTGCTAAACTGACACAGCTTTGATGTTTTGGTCAGAGGGATTTTCTCCCTTCCCACAGAGGAGGTTCTTTTCCCATTTATGAAGTTTTCTGTGGCCAAAGATTTGGGAACAGATCATCAAAGCTCCTTCACTTTACCTGCAACACAGCAGAACTTTTTCCCTTTGGAAAGTGAAAATCCCTTGGATTTAAGTGAAATAGTTTTGGAAATAAATTAAATTATCACAGAATCACAGGGAGGGACCTTAAAGATCATCCCAGATTTGGAGGTGATGGATCCTACAAAATCTGAGGATCACAAACCCAGATTGCCACATTCCTCAGCACAGAAAATAAAAATATAGGTGTATAATTTAAGGATAGATGAAATAAACTGATACAAACAGAGGAAAAAACTCCACAGGGATAATTTCTGTTCCATATTTGCCAGATTTTTCACATCTGGGACATCTCAAGGAGCTGCTGCATTTATTTGCAAAATCTCACAGCAGCAAAACACCTGCACTGGAAGGTACTTTGGAATATATCCCCAGGTTTTGGTCTTAAAAATGGGGGGGGGAAAAAAGCTTGATAAAACAACAACTTCTGATAAAATAACCTCAGATTCTTTTCCCTGACAAGCTCAATCCTAACCAAGGACTGGGAAAGAGCTGGAGTTCCTGTCCAACTTAGCAGGAATGTTTTGGGACAGGGTGCTCTGTCATTGACACGAGCTCATGAATATTTAACACCAACTTGAAACATTCCTTCCCTGCCAGACAGAGCCCATGATTTATAAATAGGAAATATGTTGCAAAACACCTGAGAATGGAGCATGAGGAAAAAGCAGGTTGGTTTTAAAGGAAGCATTTGGAATTGAGGGGAAAGGGAGGGAGGAATTCCTGGGGTTAAAGGCACCAACGATTTTAGCAGGTTTGGGGCTGGGTTTTTGCCTTTTTAAAATTTTTTTTTGCCTTTTTTTCTGCACAGATCCAGCACCCACATCCCTAAAATCAGCATTTTCCTTGTGCAGCAGCAGCGTTTGGCTTTCCAGAAACGCTGCCAACGCCGATGGGGATTTTGGGGTCCCCCCAACCCCACCTTAGCAGGGCAGGTTCTGCTCTGCGATCCCTCCCTGGCGAGGAGGAGGAGGAGGAGGAGGAGGATGGCGAGGAAGCACAACGTTATTTACAGCCAAACCCCCCTGCAAAGGCGATCCCAGCGTTTCCTCTCCCAAAACCCCCACGGTTTTATCCCAAGCCCTGCTGATTTTTTACAGCCATCAAAAAAAAACCAAAAAAACAAAAAACCAAAAAACCAACAACCAAAAAAAAAAACCTCAAAAAAACAAAACCAAAAAAAACCCAACAAAACAAACCAAAACCCCAAAGGAGATGAGTGAATTTATGTAACGAACACCTCCTGCATCCCCCGGGATGCTCCACCCGGGCAGCTCCAGCGGGGAAAAGGCCCTGCCCGCCGGGCTGTCAGCGGCTTCCCGGCAGATCTGGCCGCTGCCCGGCGGGATTCCCGCGGCCGGAGGGGCAGGAGCCCCCCCGGAGCTACTCACGGCAGCTGCTTCAGCTGGAACAAATCCTCCTCCATGGCCGGGCGGCGGCTGCGCTCATCGCTCCCGCACGGCGGGCTCGGCGGCGGGATGGAGCGGCCGGGGAGGCTGGACAGCTCCGCAGGAACCGCCGCGCCTAGGCTCGGCTTAGCTGGGCTCGGCTTAGCCAGGCTCGGCCCGGCGCGGCACGGATCGGGTGCTTTGGCACGGCTCGGCTCAGCTCGGCATGGTTTGGCTCGGCTCAAGTGGGCTTGGTTTAGCTCAGCGTGGCTCGGTTTGGCACGGTTCAGCTCAGCTGGTTTGGCACCTCTCAGCTCGGCTCGGTTTGGCACGGTTCAGCTCGGCTCGGTTTAGCTCAGCGTGGCTCGGATCGGTTCACCCGGAGCGGCCATGGCTGGGCCGGGCTTAGTTCAGCTCAGCGGGGTTTGGCACGGCCGGGCTCGGCTCAGCACAGCTCGGCTCGGCTCGCACGGTTTGGCCGAGCTCGGCTCAGCCGCGGTTCCCCCATTGCCCCGAGCGGGGCTGGACGGCTCCGCCGGGCGATCCCCCGGGCCCGGGCCGTGTCCCCGGGGGTCACACCCGCGGCACCGGGGATCCCCGGGCGCCGGACCCGGCCCCGCTGCCAGGGCTGGACAACCTTTCCGAGCGGGTTTGCCCTCAATATCCCGAGCAGAGCGCCACGGCAGCGGCGGGGCTGTCCCGCTGCTCTCCCGGAGCTCCGAGCCGCGGCTCCGGGACACCCCGGGCGGGCCGTGAGGCTCGGGCAGCGCGGGGATCCGGCCCGTCACACCGGGACCAGTCTGTGACCCACGGGGCTCCCCAGCCCAGCCGGTATCACACCGGGACCAGGCCCGTCAGCCCCGCTCCGGGCCGCCCACACCGCTCC